TTTTTAGGTGTCCTATAGGGACCAGTGGCTCAGCCTCCCCAATTACCTGAGGTGGACACTCTTGGTGCACCCCTTTATGGGCTTTTTGCACAGTCCTGTTGTAGTTAAGCCTGGTTTGTTGTAGGTATCACTGGGAGGAATTGACCTCCAGGCCAATTGGCTGTGAGAATCAGCTGTGTCTGCAGTGGGAGAACTTCTGTTCTGGAGACACCCTTCTGGGGCAAGACTTGCTTCAGTGGGGCTTTGGTGCTCACTGAGTCTCCCCCCTGAGTGTGTCCCTTATGGATCTCTAAGGAGGTGCAAATTTAGCCTCTGCCCAAGGCTACCCAGCAGGAGGAATGGAGAGATCTGCAAATTCCTCTTCTTTGATTGGGGTTTGGAGGTACCTAGATGAGGCCCAGCTGTGAAGTAATACAAGGTGCTGTGGGGTCATGGGCCTTCTTTTAGAAGTTCCGAGTCTCTCTGACCCAGGTGCAGATTGTTAATTAATTTTCAGATTGCAAAGGGCCAGGCCTTTCATATGCAAAAGTCTCTATGCACAGCTTGGGTGGGGTGGGGTCTCAGGGGATCAACAGGGCAGAGCAAACAGCTATGGCTGATCCTCTCCTCAGCCCTGCCCTAAGAGGCCCCGGGTCTCAGTGTCTCGGTAATCGCTGCAAGCACCTCTGAGAGAAAGCCACCCTCGAGTTCTGACCGATGCCAGACAGTCCAGTTTCTTCTCCCTGTAGTCTGGATCCCCAGAGACTCACCCGAAACTGGAGTTCAGAGCATTCTGGAGCTTGAGACTCCCTCCTGATTGAAAAAGACGACCGTGTCCTCATTTGCCAGCCCTTTCCCTGTGCGCCTCCGAACCTCCGCACTTCCGCACCTCCTCTGTGTGGGGAACTGATATAGGGTTAAGCCTCGGACTGACCTGTTAGGAAAGTCACAAACAAGTCCCAGCTTAGAGGGCACAGTCCTATTAGGATAATTAGACTTAAACTTATAACACTCCCTAGATCTTATCTGGGAAGCTAAAAGGCTGAGGGAAGTGCAGGAGTTTCTCCCTGTATGAGTCTGGATCCCCAGAGACTCACCCGAAACTGGAGTTCAGAGCATTCTGGAGCTTGAGACTTCCTCCTGATTGAAAAAGACAACCATGTCCTCATTTGCCAGCCCTTTCCATGTGCGCCTCTGAACCTCCACACTTCCGCACCTCCTCTGTGTGGGGAACTGATATAGGGTTAAACCTCAGACTGACCTGTTAGGAAAGTCACAAACAAGTCCCAGCTTAGAGGGCACAGTCCTCTTAGGATAATTAGACTTAAACTTATAACACTCCCTAGATCTTATCTGGGAAGCTAAAAGGCTGAGGGAAGTGCAGGAAGTGTAACTATGGTCAAAACAAGTGAAACTCACAAGAACAGTGTAACTATGGTAACCACTACCTTGTTTACCTCTGACTATAAAATGGTTGGTGCGACCTGAGCACCGGTGGAACTCCTTCCTCTTGAGTTGGACTTACCCACCTGGCCCCCCAATATTCCCAAATTATCTCTTGTCTTTTCTCTTTCATTTGTGTGCAGCTCCTCTTCCAGATCCTGAACCCTGAACCACGCGGGATATGGAGGGAAACATTTATAACATATGGTGCCCGAACAGGGACTTGTTTGTGACTTTGCCAACAGGTCAGTCCGAGGCTTAACACTATGTCGGTTCCCCACACCTCTGAGTCTCAGTGTGCTTGTCTCTTTCCTTCTAGTTGTAGAATTTCCACTTAGCCAGACTTCCTGTGGTTCTGGATGATGTCCATTTTGTCTTACAGTTGCATTTTTTAAGTGGTTGTGCGATGCAGCAATTTCTAGTGTTTGCCTATGCCGCCATCTTGGTTTCTTCCCACTTATTTTCTTATCCAATTTTTAAAGCCTAACTAAGAAACTACATGTCGCCCTAACCAGTTTGGCTCAGTGGACAGAGTGTCAGCCTGCAGACTGAAGGGTCCCAGGTTCGATTCCGGTCAAGGGCATGTACCTTGGTTGCGGGCACATACCCAGTAGGGAGTGTGCAGGAGGCAGCTCAATTGATGTTTCTCTCTCATCGATGTTTCTAACTCTCTATCCCTCTCCCTTCCTCTCTGTAAAAAAATCAATAAACTATATTTTTAAAAAAAGAAATTACATGTCCTACACATCTAAGAACTTTTCACATTTGGACTTTTTTGTGCAGAGTTAAAGTACAAATTAGACTGAGAGATATCTCACATCAATTGCACTCGTAACCACTTTCTCCAGTGTGAGCTCTCTGATGATATTGAAGATGGCTTCTAGTTGTAAAAGTTTCTCCACATTCACTGCATTTATAAGGCTGTTCTCTAGTGTGAACCCTCTCATGACGACGAAGGGCACTACTCCAGGTAAAAGATTTCCCACATTCACTGCATTTATAAGGCTTTGCTCCAGTGTGAACTATCTGATGATTACGAAGCGTACTACTCCAGGTAAAAGATTTGCCACATTCACTGCATTTATAAGGCTTTTCTCCAGTGTGAACTCTCTGATGACGACAGAGGATATCTTTCAAGGTAAAAGATTTCCCACATTCTCTGCATTGATAAGGCTTCTCTCCTGTGTGAACTCTCTGATGATAATGGAGAAGAGTGCTCCTTGTAAAAGACTTACCACATTCACTGCATTTAAAAGGCTTTTCTCCTGTGTGAAACATCCTATGACAATGAAGCGCAGTGCTACTGGTAAAAGATTTTCCACATTCACTGCATTTATAAGGCTTTTCTCCTGTGTGAACTCTCTGATGATATTGGAGACCAAAGGACCTTGTAAAAGATTTCCCACATTCATTGCACTTAAAAGGCTTTTCTCCTGTATGAACTCTCTGATGATTATGTAGGTGGGTGTTAGTTGTATAAGTTTTCCCACAGTCATTGCATTGATAAGGCTTTTCTCCAGTGTGAATTCTCTGATGACTACGAAGGCTGGTGTTAGTGGTATAAGTTTTCCCACATTCACTGCATTGATAAGGCTTTTCTCCTCTGTGAATTCTCTGATGATAATGAAGGCGTGAGTTTTTTGTAAAAGATTTCCCACATTCAGAGCACACAAAACATCGACTTGCAGCATGGACACCCTTTTCCTGAATAAACATGTTGTTGTAACTAATGTCTTTCTTACATTCTTTTCTGGCGTAACAATTTTTTCTCCTTTGAAACATCATCCCACGGGTTGAAATAGCATTTGTACTGTCACTAGTCTGAGGAGCCTTTAGGTGGAGATGTCCTGACCCAGTAAGGACACCCTGCCCAACCTCTCCATAGGTTAAACAATTCTGGGACACATTGAAACTGCAGCTGTTTGAAAGTGAGATGCTGTCCACACCTCTAATGAAAGTCTTCTCTCTCACATGCCATTGGTGAAATTTTACACTGAAGTAAAACCATTTTGCACATGCCCCACACCTCAACAGTATCTGTCTATGTTGTGTTCCCTGCAGCTCCAGCACGTAGAAAATGTTTCCCAAGACGAGCCCACAACTCTCACACGGGTGGCTCTTCTGGGAAGACAAGGCTACCTTGGGATTCCTTGCCTGTGACACTCTAACAGAAACCTTCTGTTCCGTCGGTGCCTCCACATGCTCTGCTCCACAGCAGCAACCTGAACAAAAGGAAAAGCTGGTGAGGTACATGTTGACCTTATAAAAACAGAACATCTTCAACACGAATGATTAACTGTTCTGACAAGGCATGATTCCTTAGAAAGATTTTCAAAATGAGTGAGTAAGACACAGAGGAAATTGCTGTTATAAATAACGTGGACCAAAAAGTCAGTAGATGATGAAAATCTCACCAAGAGAGGGACAGAAGCTCAGCATAAGATACAAAGAAAACAGGAAGACTCTACTCATTGTTCCCGCACAAACGGTTTCCTTTAAGACCTTACATTCTGACCATGTGAGTCTGTATGGAATAATTTCAAGTTGCTCGAAGACATAAAAATTAATTGTATTAGAGCACAGGATATACAATGTCAATATATTAACATGTGTGCTCTCCAAGGTGCTACAGGCATAGACTAACATTGGCTTGCAGTAAAGAGAGACCTGTCAAAGAAGCAGAGGTGTAAAGTCCAGAGAGGTTAAAGGTATCGTGAGCTGGGAATCTGAGTAAAAATGATCACTATTAGAATTGAATAGTTGGCAAAGCATCAACAATAAGCACCAACAAGCATAATTGGGTAAGGAATGGGCAACTGTAACAAATCACTGGCTTTCTAGCTATGACTGTAAAAAAGGCTGGCCATGAATTCTTCCCCAATGACCCTTCACCAAGGCAAGACCACCTGTGTGACCACTGTGTCATTCATAAAGTCTCCCATTATTCTTCTGTGATGCACAAATGTTTCTTCCCATTAAATCCCATTTGAGCCATTGCATGGGATAAATGATGCAATCTTCAAAAAAAGAGAAAAGTTGGATGGTTAACACTATGGTCAACGAACGACACATGAGATCTCAGACAAAAGACCTATGTGAGTGACATGAAAAAGATGACAGGAAAAGACATATGGGCATCTCCCCCATCCCAGTATAAGTGTTATCCATGAAAGAAGACCCCATAGGAAGTGGTCAACGAAGGACACATGAGATCTCAGACAAAAGACCTGTGAGTGACATGAAAAAGATGACAGGATCAGACATATGGGCATCTCCCCCATCCAAGTATAAGTGTTATCCATGAAAGAAGACCCCATAGGAAATGGGGATAAGAGTACGATGAAGAAAAACAGTATTACAGACAAAAACAGAGGAGAAGTGTACACAAAGAATGACTGGAAAGACTGTGGAAACAAACATATTTGAAGATACCTACACTCAAAAGAAGGGTCAGAGTTACCTCCAGCAGCCATTGTGCTTCCGCTATCATTGACCATACTGGCCTGTTCTTCAAAAAATACTGGAAATTTTTATGTTTATAAACCACAAAATGCCTTGGCCAATATGGCTCAGTAGGTTGGAGCATCATCCTATGTACTAAAGGGTGGAGTATTCAATTCCCAAGTCAAGGCACATATCAGTATATGGGTTCCATTTCCAGTTATCTTGTGTGGAGAAGGGAACTGATTGATGTTTCTCCCTCACATTGATGTTTCTCTCTCACATTGATCTTTCTCTCTCTCTCTCTCTCTGTCTCTCTCTCTCTCTGTCTCTCTCTCCCCCTCCCTTACCTCCCCCCTCTCTCTTGAGCCATCTCTCTTCCACTCTTTCTGAACCCAATAATAAATAAATAGAAAAGAATATCAAGGTAGCCAAACACAAAACAGAACTCCAAGAAGTCTAGAGACAAAGTCAATAAAAAGACAACCTATCAAAAATCATGTATAAAATTCATAAAATGCATTTCTACAAAGAAATTTTATAGGGATAAATGCCTGCATTATAAAAATAGACCCGAAAACACCTAACCTGCCATCTCAGGAATCTAGGCACAAAACAAGCAAGTAAATCCAAAGGTTGCAAAGGAAGGAAACAATAATGATTTGAACAAGCATCAATAAAAGGGAGATATGACAAAATAAAGAATATCTAACAGGTACTTTTCTAAAACCTAGAAAATTGGCAAACCTTAAGCTAGACTAAAGCAAAAAAACAAAAACAAGCCTCAAATAAATGAAAAAAGAAATGAAAAATAAGACATTATACCTGACACTATGAACCACAAAGCATCATAAGAGATGCTGATGTTAGCAGATGACATGACCCTCCACAGAGAAATTTGTCAAGATCCCATATGAGCTTCTGAAATTAATAAACAAATTCAGAGCCCTGGCCATGTAGCTCAGCTATTGAGTATGTGGTCCCGAGGCACCATGGTTGTGGGTTTGACACCCATCATGTAGGGGACAGGAAATAAATGCTTAGATGTGTAGAACAGCAGGTCAATGTTTCCCTCTCTTTCTCTGTCTTCCTACCTGTCTCGAAAATCAATACATAAAGGCTGTGCCGTACAGTTCAGTGATTGCGTATCAACCCATTACCTAGGAGGCAAAAATTCTATTTCTTGTTAGGGGATATGCACAGGTTGCCAGCCCAATCTCCAGTGTGCAGGAAGCAGCTGATCAATGAGTCTCTCTCATTATTCATGTTTCAATTGCCCTCCTTGTCTTCTTCTCTGAAATAGATCAAATAAATAAATAAAGACACATGTGGGAGGCAACCAATTGATGTCTCTCTCTCTCTTTCTCTCTCTCTCCCTCTCTCTCTCTCTCTCCCTCTCCTCACTCTTCAGTAAGAACTACGGGCTGTAAAATTCAGTGCGAAATGGGGCTCAGGGACACAGAGGCTACAGGAGACCCAGCTGCTCCTCTTACAATGTCCACACCACAAACTGAACTTAGAAGCTCCCGATTCATCTGACCCTCCTGGGCCTGGAGAGCCTGTGGGGGAGGAGCGAATGAAGACACATACTAGGAGACACTGGACTGACTGGTATCAGGGTGGGAAATCGGGGGTGGCTTTCTCCCAGACAAAGTGCTCTCAGAGATCATTACACCTATGCTGGGACATACCGGGTTGCACAGCTCACTGACAACCATTTCGGTTTGCTCCGCCCTGGTGATTTCCTGAGGTATCACCTCATCCAATATACAAGCACATACAAGCTGTGTGCAGCAGCTTTTGTATATGCATGGCCTGTCCTTCCTCAGGCGAAAATCTGTCAAACAAGTTGCAGTTGGGTCAGGGAACCCCAAATCTATCAACAAAAGTCCCAAGATGAAGCACCAGCACTAGCCTTCCTTCCTTCACAGCTGGGCCTCATCAGGGCACTTGCAAACCTGATAGAAAGAAGGGAATCCGGAGGTCTCTCTTAGATCCTGGTAGGTGGCTCCAGGCAGTGGCTGACTTTATACCTCCCTGGAGACCCAAGAGCCAGTGTACCCAGTGGTCAGGGTCATACCATAGCAGCTTACAACTCTTCACATCCATAAGCGACACACCCAAGGGGCAGAGTCACTGAGCACCAAAGCCCCACTGAAGCAAGTCCTGCTCCATAAGGGTGTCTCCTGCACAGCAGCTCTCCCACTAGGTTGCAATGGCCTTGATAGATGCTAAAATCCTCAACAAAATTCTGGCAAATCGGATCCAGAATTACACGAGCCAGCATGGCCATGGCATACTCAGCCCCAGGGCGCCTTATGTGCCATGCCGGCTCAGCATGGCTCAGTGACCCTGATTGGGGGTGGTGAAAGGCTTAGAAAAGACAGACAAGAGAATGAAAGCTGGGTCTAAGTGGGAAGCTGCTCCGGATGGAGAGACAGCGCCAGCACCCACAAGCTGTGTCTTTATTTTATAGCAGATGTCATGGGGCAAAGTAAGGGTGTGATCAAGATGTTTACAACATTCTCGTGGGTTTCAATCCTACTCATCTACATGCACCTGAACTATATCACTCAGGCACGTGGGGCCACGTGTTCGGAACATAGGTTCAAGCTTAAAACTATAGGTATTGGCTGTAATTGTGCCGGGAAAGCTCTGCCCTCCAAGCTGGAACTTGCACGTGGCAATGAGAGGACTGTGCCCTGTCATTAGTCCAAGGCTTGAACCTGTCCAAAACACGGTAGCCGCGCCCCAATTCGAATAGCAAAAAAACCTTAGTGAAAACAAAGCTGATGGCATCACACTTCCTGACTTGAATTTATTACAAAGAGAAAGCAAGCCAACAGTGTGTTGGTGGAGAAACACAGACACATATATCAACAGAACAGAAAACACAGAAATAAACCCAGGCACATACTTTCAAGTCATCTTTGTCAAAGCTGCAAGACACAGAAGAAGAGAAAGATAGTTTCTTCAATGATAGGTGCTGGGAAAAATTAATATTCATATGTAACACAACAATACTGGACACCACTGATAAAATGTAACTCAACCTGCATGAGAGAATTAAATGTCACCGCTAAAACGTAAAACTCCTCAGGACAACCTAGAGAGTAAGTTTTGGGGTTTGTTTTGGACAGAATTTTCTGAATGTGACACCAAATACCAGACAAAATAGAAAACATAAACAGCCCAGATTGCAACAAATAAAGAAAGACTTCTTCACAGAACAGCATTAAACAAAATGAAATGAAAGGAAATCTAGAGAACAGAAGAAAATACTTGCAAATCCTATGAAGGAATCGCTTGGAGAGATTGTGCATTCAGTTCTGATCAGCACAATAAAGCGAATATTTCGATATAGACAGAAATTCATACAAATAGGTAGAGTTCCCAGGGAATAATAAAGGTTTGTAATACCATAGTGCAGGCAAATAACAATGCAATGATTCTGTATCAAAAGCAAACTCTAATGAACATCATTAAAAATACTTTATTGCTAAGCACTAGTAACAATCATCTGAGCTTGCTAGAAACATGATGGCACTAGACATGCTGAACCCAGGGTTGCCATAAACATGGATTTGGTAGAAGCGGAGGTGTGAGGGAGCAATATCTGCAAAGCGCAATTAAGCACATGCAAAAATATGTCTTCCTCTATATCATAAGCAATTAATATATAACATATACAAGGTAGTCAAAAGAATGTTTAACCAAAATATACAGGTCCCCGGGGGTACATTTATACCATGGAATACTATGCAGCAGTAAAAATGAAGCCTCCCTTCCCCTTTTACACAGCATGGAGGGACCTGGAGAGCATCCTGCTAAGTGAAATAAGTCAACAGAGAAATAACACTTCACCTCACTCATATATGTAATCTAAGTAACAAAAAAAAACAATGTTGAATGGAGTAAATTCAGAGTGTGGAATTCAGAATTCGGAATCTCAGAAGGGAAGGCGGGGGAGGATATAAAAAAAAGAAAGAAAAAACATCCTTCCCTGTGGAGTATGCACACACTCACAAACAATAAAAACAAAGTCACCTGAGACTTGAGCATTTACTTCTGTTCTCGGAAAGCAGTGGGAAAGCTCTACCTTGGTGGGTTCTGGGTCTGCTCTAAATTTGTGTTTATAAATCTGTCTTCCGTCAGTTGTGTCACTGGAAATGCTGATACCCCTCCATGTAAAGTTCTCCTGCTTCACACGAGTGGATTGCTTTTGGTTTTGTTGTAAGAAATGTCCAAACCTGTGGAGAATTTTTCTCAGTTTATTTGACCCAAGCCTGTGACATTGCCAGGAAGCAAGAAGAAAACACACTGAGGTGGGAGAATGGCAGTTTTGCACCTTCTTTATACATTAGAGTCTAAGGAGAAGACATAAGGGGGTTATATGAAATGCACTGGTGATAAATTAAGGGAGAGAGTTAAGGAGGGAAATCTCTGGGATTGGATAAAAAGTTAAAAAAAATAGACATAAACTTCTTTTTACATGTTATAGAATAGTTAACACTTCATATGTAATACAATAACTATAATAATTGGGGCTCTGTGGTTTGCTGTGTTGGGAGATTGTGCCCTTAAGATTCTGTAAAACGGAAATTTCTCTGAAAATCCACAGGTATGTTATCCCAGATGCAAAAACACAATAGCCAGGCTCAATCAGCTACAAATCGTCCTTTGCAAAACAAAACAAAACAAAAAACAAGGTTAGGACATAACTACCCCTATGGCTTACTTTTGCTTAGAAAGTTTTAACTTCAAGCCATGTTATATGGTTACTTTTGGCCTCTGAGTTCCTAAGATTGGCCATGGCATGCCAGGATCCCTGAGCTTACTAGGTTTAGTATGTGCTGTCATTGTTTTCCAAACTGGGGAGTTAGAACTTGTTGGTTTAGCCCTAACCAGTTTGGCTCAGTGAATAGAGCAGTGGCCTGTGGACTGAAGGGTCCCAGGTTCAATTCCAGGCAAGGGCATATATCTTGGTTGTGGGTATATCTCCAATAGGGGGTGTGCAGGAGGCAGCTGATTCATGTTTCTAATTCTATATCCCTTTCCCTTCCTTTCTGTAAGAAATCAATAAGGTAAAAAATAAAATTAAAAAAGAACTTATCAGTTGAGGAGAAAAATTAATGAGTGCTTTATTTCCTGGCTAATGCATTGTTCACATCCTCCTTAACAGAATGCCCCCATATTGCTGGTGTTCCTTTATTTGGACTCCTAGACATAGTTAAGCTTCAGGTCAATAAATCCTTGGGATCTAAATGTGGTAGAGGTATTTGTAAGGAAAAGAAAAAGGTCTTTCTTTTTTCTTTACAGTGGTCTTTCATAATTAATGAGAAGCACCTGCTAATTCAGTGGTTCTCAACCTTGGCTGCACATCAGAATCACCTGGGAATCTTTTTAAAATCCTGATTTCTGGGCCTCATCATTAGTAACAAAGAAACGGAATTTCTGGAGGATGAGGCCCAGAAATCAGGATTTTAAAAAGATTCCCAGGTGATTCTAATGTACAGCCAAGGTTGAGAACCATTGTCTTAGGACAATAATGGCGAACCTTTTGAGCTAGCCGTGTCAGCATTTTGAAAAACCCGAACTTAACTCTGGTGCCCTGTCAGATATAGGAATTTTTTGATATTTGCAACCAGAGTAAAACAAAGACTTATATTTTTGATATTTATTTTATATATATATATATACATACATCATCAACAGAAGAGAACAGAAAACACAGAAGTAAATCCAGCACATACTTTCAAGTACTCTTTGTCAAAACGGCAACACAGAGAAGAAGGGAAAGATAGTTTCTTCAATGAATGGAGCTGCTGAAAATCAATACTCACATGGAAACACAACAATACTGGACACCACTGATAAAATATAACACAACCTGCGTAACAGAATTGAATATCAGCGCTAAAACTTAAAATGCCTCAGGACATCCTAGAGAAAAAGTGTTGGAGATTTGTTATGACATGATTTTCTAAATGTGACACCAACCACAAGACAAAAAAGAAAACACACACAGTCCAGACTGCAACAAATAAAGAAAAAAGCTTCTTCACAGCACAACGGGAATAAACAACATGAAATGAAAGGAAATCTAGAGAACAGAAGAAAATACTTGCAAATCCTATGAAGGAATCGCTTGGAGAGATTGTGGATTCAGTTCTGATCAGCACAAAAAAGTGAATATTGAGATATGGATAGAAATTCACACAAATAGTTGGAGTTCCCAGGGAATAATAAAGTTATGTTAATACTATACTGGAGGCTAATAACAATGCAATGACTTGTGTGAAAACCAAACTCGATATAACTTCATTAAAAATACTTTATTGCTAAGCACTAGTAACAAGCATCTGAGCTTGCTAGAAACATGGTGGCACTAGACCTGCTGAAGGCAGGGTTGCGTAAAAACATGGACTTTGTAGAAAAGCGGGGGTGGGGGAGCAATATCTGCATCTGCAAAACGAAATTAAACACATGCAAGAATGTGCTCCTGGGTGTCATAATCAATGAATATATAATATAAACAAGGTGGTCAAAGAATGTTTAACCAAAAAATACAGTTATTAAGCAGGATAAGTATAGAAAGAATTCTTCAAAAACAATGTACAAGTGACAAACAGGAATATAGAAAATGCTTTCCTCACTGATCAAGGTGGAATCCCTTAGGCTTCCTGTAACACTACCAACCACAAGTCCTTGCCTGTGAATTTAGTGCAGCGGGGAGTATTGGGACTTCAGGAATAGAAGGGAGCAGTGGAAACAGACCAACCCTCCCCAGGACAGCAACTATCCAGGAAATTGGAAAATCAAGCAGTACCACAGTCTACCTGGGAGGACAGAGCACACCCTGGGGGATGGGGCCTGGGAAATCGCAAAGCCAAGTCCAGGTCACTGGCGAGAGTGAGGGTCTTACCCAGGGAGGATAGAAGTTCAAAGTTCTCCAGCATCACATTCAGGTACAGCTGTCTCTGACCCTCATCAAGGAGGCTCCATTCCTCCCTGGAGAAGTACAGGGCAATGTCCTCAAAGGTCACGCCAACCTGTCACAATGGAGACAATTGAAAGCAGAGCTGCCATCCTACTCCTTACACACCTTCCGCACCTTCAACCTCTTCCAGGCCCCTGGTTACTGTGGATACCAGGCCCTAATGCCAGTGCAGGCTGCTCTCATCACAGTCCAATTACTCACTGTGATTGCCCTCAGCAGAGCAGCCTGATTGGGTGGGAAGGATTGGGGAGGGCAGGGGAGCAAGCAATGCCTTTTAAGGTCTGGGCGATGTAGTGTAGAGAGCTTGTAGTCCAGCCGGATCCAGGTCCACCCAAGGCCCCTGATGGACTCACAGCCGGGAAAGCCCCAAATGAGTCTGTGACGTCCTCCCTGCAGCCTCTGATCTTTCCGTCAATACTCACAGCCCACATCCTCAGGGACCTTCAGATGCAAGTCACCCCCGTACTCTCTGCCCTGCACTTGCTGTGTCCTCAGAAGCCACAACACTCCTCTCTCCCCTCCACCTTCCTCACGGTCCTCCACGCGGGACTGAGCTGCAGGACGGGACAGCCGCCCTCCCCAGGCTGTGGTGTCTGTGTGAGGAGGCGGTGAGGGCCTGGGGGACTCGAACTCACCTCAGACTGTCTCCTCAGCGGGGGCGCCGCCATTGCACTCTGGGGGGTGAGCGGAGCGGAAGCGGCGGGAGTTGAACCTGCTGCAGGAATGGCGGTCCCTGACCCGGCCCTGGCGTGTGTTCGTGTGGCGACTCGGAGCTTCAACCCACGTGGGAGCTGTGAGCACCACTGGAAGCTCCGACCATGGGCTGTGTGACGGGGAGCACCACTCTGTGGCCTACTTCACGGGAGTGCGGACACCGAAAACCTCACCGCCTGACCAAAAACCTGAGAAGAGGAAATCCAGCCACAAGGACTCCCGATCCCGCCCTAAAGAAGCGGCCAAACAGAAATGCCTTCTCTGACCCTCCATTGGCTCAGCCTGATGCCACTCCATGCGTGGCCTTCTGGGTAATGTAGTTTCTAAGCTCCAAGGCCAGGATCCAGTATCTCTCAGTTGACTCTAAGACTGGATTTAGGGGCAAATAGCCCAAGAACACACCACGTATATTAAGTATCCTTGAGCGAGGTGATTTCGGGGCAAGATTGTTTCTCCTGCACCTGCGTGGCTTCCTTTAGCTGCGAGTTATACATATATTTGTTCAGGACTTGCTCTTTCTGAATGGCAGGCATTGTTTCTTCATTCAAGACTTTTGGCACGTGTCTCCCTCCGGCCATATGTGTCTAGAGGAGGTTGTTCAAGTCCCTAAATGCCTTAACCTGTCTCCATTGAATCCATTATACAAAGTTAAGGTCACAAAACAGACGCTAGTACTTAAGGGCATCTGCTTCTGATGGCATCCAGTGTCAGCTCTGCCTGGGCTGCAGTGTGGATAAGATGGTCAAGAAATATATGAAAAGATGCTTAACGTCACAGATCACCAGAGAGATGGAAATTAAAGCAACAATTACCTGTCACCTCACCGCTTTCACAATTTCTGCCATCAACAAATGAACAAAAAACAAGTGCTGGGGAGGATGTGGAAAAAAGGGAACCCTAGTACACTACTGATGCGAATGCAAACTGGTGTAGCCATTATGAAAATCAGTAGACTTTCCTCAAAAAATTTAGTATGGAACTTCCATTTGATCCAGTGATTCCACTTCTAG